TCCGAGCCAACTCATCACCTATGAATTAACTGATAGATCTTAGTTTGAGTATTCTATTCTGTTGAAGAACAAAACTGAAGGCCATGTAATCTAAGGACGCAAGGATGAAGAACTGAATGTGAAGGGGAGAGCATTGCAATACTCTGGAAGCATACAAAATAAGGATAGCATGAAGAAAACAACAAAATTAGGGAAATAAATTGGTTATCATGTGAAAGACAGTGCTCATTGATAATGTAACAATAGGTGTACGTACTTGGACTATGATAAGATAAATAGGTGTAAAGGAATATGAGGGAGTAGTTTTACAGGTTAAGTTCAGTCTTACCAAGGCAGAAAAAAGAGCACATCAAGCGGCTCATGAAACTAAAAAGAATATCAATTAACTATCAATTTTGATAAATTCCAGATATCATGTCTTAAAATTGACTTGTTCCACAAACATAGACAACAATTTCCAATTCTTGACCAAAAGAATCAATGTGTATGGAACTGTATCACCTAGAGGCCTCACCTGCAAGAACAACGATTCCACGACCTTCGGTCTAGTAGTTTTTTATTTTTATTTATTTATTTATTTTTTTAAATTTATTTATAATGGGTCTAATTTATTATATGCAGCATAGAATTTATGCCACAAATTAATATACAAAGTTTGCATGCTAAATGCATATGTACTATGCATGTTTGTATTTGTTGAGTTCATTAACAGCAACCTTCAGAAAAACCAGGATGCATTAGCAAGTGTCCCTTGTGGGGATAGTTATAATTAAATTAGAGGAGGAGTAATTCTTACTTTGAAAGTTCATTTCAACAGTACCCAAACATGGGAAGTCGAAAATCAAGAATGTAGAAGCGCCTGTGCTGCAGTACCCAACAAGGTTCATGATATTGCGGTGGTACACCCGAGAAAGGATCTTAAGTGTGGACCTCAAGCCCTTGTTGGTTTCTGGGTAAAACTTGACTAAAACAGATGTTTCTTGCAATATTCCCTGATAAACTACTACGCCATCCAGTGCTCCTGAAATTTTGTCATCAGCAAAGCCATTTGTTATTGCTTCAATTTCATTATGTGAAAATGCTCGAGGGAAGCCGCTTCTCCAAGACATGGGATAGCAACAACGACTCTGGGGATGTGGTGCGGGTGCACATTTCTTTCTTAATTGATACATACTGAAACTTTCACTGTCCTCTTCCACAGGATGCTGTGGTTCAGGATTCCATGGAGAAATCTCAGGCTCGTTTGATAGCATCAAGCTAGCAAAATCTTTTTCTTTTACTACCGCAATATTGCATGATACATGTCCCTTTAGAAAAACTTTAGATTTCCTGAAGTGACTGACAACCAAATAGCGAAAATTAGAAAAACAGACAAACAAACAAACAAGCACAGAGAGAGAGAGAGAGTGTGTGCGGGCAAATTAAAAACAAAGGAAGTTTCAAACTCTACCTAAACTTTCCATTGAAGAGCACAAGATAAGAAGATTAGTCACAGCTCAAATTTAAAGAGAGAGAACAAAAAATGAAAATGAAAACTCAGAATCAATTCAAATCTTAAGAGATTTCAAGACTCAAGTAAGAAAATTATGCACTGACACCCAAATTACAAAGGGGGGAGGGGGAGTAAAGAAAATTTCCATCTTAAATCATTAGTCTGTTCTATAAAGTCTGCTGGATCACCTACCAATACCAGTTCAAGTTTTTAATTTCTGTTCATGTTCTTGATTTGTCTTTTTAGATTAATTTGACAGTTCCTGTAAGAGTGACGATATCAAGACTTGGTAGTTATTGTTATGCATTTTAATGATTCCATTTTGATTGATGCAAACACTACTGCAGTAAAGCATAGAACAAAATCTTAAATGCTTGCTCAATTGTGTTATATAATTTCAGGACTAAGGATGACCTGAGTGTGTGACATACCTGTCTAATACGATCCATCGGGTATTAAGGTTTTGTGATTCATCCATTGCCACTCTCGCTGGACAAAACCCTGCTGCAACTTTAAGCACTAACCTGACCTGCACATACACCACAAAGTTTTTAAGTATGTTACATGGAATTGCAAAAACTGACATATAAAGGGAAAAAAGAACACCAACCTCATTCCTTATGCACAGACCATATAAAGGCTGGAGGCTACTCCGGTATTGTTCTCTTTTTCTCTCAAATTCTTCTTCAAGCTCTATAGGATCCACTTCCTCATGGTCAATGAATTCTAATCTCTCCCCTGCAAGACATAAGTTGTATTAGGTTAAGCATATCTAGTAAGTAGTGAGGCAGCCATATAACATGTAAGGTTTAGAATTCGCTTCTGGACCAATTTTCCCTTGTAAAGCACAAACAAAGTTACACAGATTTTGGTATAGGATTATAGGTTCAATGGTAGAGTACTCACCATACGTACCTCCAGCCAAGTGAAAAACAAAAATTACACAAATTTTGATCTTGTGCAGAAAAAAGCGTTTTCTATTTTATGTGTTCCAAAGTTGTACAGAAAAAGGGTTGGAATTTTTTGAATTGACAACTTTTACTACTAGATCTACAACTTTTTGAATTTTTAAAAAAATGGTATTTCTCTTCTCGATGTTCGATGAGGTCTAAGTTTGATTGATAAGCACTTTTACAAATAGAAACAATCAATTCCTATAATGAACTTTCATCTGTCAGAAGAATATATCATTGCCAAACATAAAAATTTTATCTCAAACAACTTAAAACAAATATTAACAGCGTGACAAACAGAGAAATTAAACATAACCTAGTTTGCAAGTTTAAACCTACATATACCGGATGTGACAATGTCCATTAGCAGCTTAAATGGAAAGCAAGAGTTCTTCTTGGCCAGTTGATCATTGAAAACTCCCAAAACAAGGAAGATGTCTCGTGGACGAACGACATGCTTGAGAGCCCACTCGACAGCTTCCATGGTTCCTTTGGTCCTGTCAGCGTCCACAGCCACAACGACAGCCTCTCTTGAGCGCCGGGCTGCCAGCAGACTCATCTGCCTCTCTCTCGTCATTGCTGTTGGAGGGACGACGAATGGTGAATATGGTTTTGCTTCTGAGTCTGTCTGAGTGAAGTCAAAAGAAGGGCTTTTGGGCTCTCTCTGAATCTTTATCTGTTTTTGGGTTGCTCCAATTTCCATAGGTGGTTCCGCCATCAACAAGATCAACAAGATCAACAAGGTTGGGGTTAGTTATTATCGTTGCCCCCACTGAGGCTACCAGCTTCTTTTGTTTGGAACGAAGGAATATTTTTCTTTTTTGTTTTGGCGCCCACTTTTCTCTGTCTTGTGTATGGCTGCCCAATTGAGCTTCTGTTTTGCTTGGCATTTTGCTCAATTGTAGTCTTTGTATAAATCCTCTTTTAAAAAGTTTTAGGGAAAATTATATTTTGCAACCATGTAGTTTGGGGCTTTGACAATTTGATTCATGTCTATTAAACATTGGCAAAAACCACCATTAAAGTCACCAATCGTTACATCATTGGCATTTTGTCCCTCAGATCGAACTATAAAGTAAAGCACTCGTTTTTTTTTTCGGTGACACTCAATTGATCCATTTAAAGGGCCGCCAAGGTTCTAGGCGGGCGCCTGTGCAGCTATATTGAGTTTCAATTTTTTTTTTAATAACTAGTATAGCCGCGCCGTTATACTTTGTTTTTTTTTCAAATTAATAATATAGCAGCGTGGCTATAATACGTGTTTTTTCTAAACCCTAAATTCCAATTAATCGTATAGCCGCGCGGCTATACTCTTTTCGCCCACTTTTTTAAAATATAAATCCTATCAGCGGGCGGCTATACTCCTTTTTTAAAAATATTTTTATGAAATTAATAGTACAGCCGACCGGCTATACTCCGTGTTTTATTTATTTATTTTTCAAATTAATAGTATAGCCGTGAGGCCATACTCCGTGTATTTTAAAATTTTTTCAAATTAATAGTATAGCCAGGTGTCTATACTACTTTCAAAAAAATTCCCATTAATTGTGGACTGGGTCGAAGAAGATGACTGGGGCAGAGAGACTGGTTGACAAAATGCTTTGTTTAAAAAAAATTATTATTATGTTTTAAAGAAAGGGAGACTTTGGAAAAATATAAAGGGGCGATAAATTTTGTAAAATGAGCAAAAATGGACAAAATTGCCTTTATTTATTTTTAGATTACCTAAAGAATGTCTTTAATTTGAAAGTTGATAGGTTTTTTTGTTTTTTTTTTTAAAGCTTTGACTTGCTCCTAGCGTTATATTATTTTTGTCCATTTTTCCAATTAATACCGAGTTTTTTACTTGCTCCTGGAATTAATATTATAGCCGCGCGGCTATATTATTCTTGTCCAATCATGCTAATTAATAGTTTTTTTTGCGCTTTTTTAGTTAAATAGTATAGCCGGACGGCTATACATTGTTTAAATATAATATACAATAATATAGCCGCGCGGCTGTACTCCTTGTGTTTTTTAAAATTTTTATTCATATTACGTGTTTAATTATTTTTTCCAAATTAATAGTATAGCCGTTCGGCCATAGTCCTTTTTATATAAAAAAATTTAGTAGTATAGCCGCTAGGCGATACGTCGTTTTTTAAAATTTTCTCCAGAAATTAGTAGTATTGCCCACAATTATCATTATTCTTAGAAAGTCATTTTTAATTGGTAGTCTAAAAATTGTAAGAGAGACTTTGAAAAAGACCAAAGGAAAGAGAAAATTTTTATAAAAAGCCAAAGTGGATAAAATTGCCCCTATTTAATTTTGGATTTCCTAATAAATCATTTAAATTTGTATGTCTTTGATTTGAAAGTTAATAAATTTTTCTGTTTTTTTTTTTTTAAAAAACTAAAGTTTTTTCAAAAAGCGAAATTTTTTTTGTGGCTAAAACCTTGTGTAAGTTGCGTTCATTTCCAAAAATGACAAATCGTATGAACCAGAAACTTTTTAGATAAACTTTCCAGTGATTTCCCATTAGCCTTCTTAGCTACGAGTCTCTTTCAATGTTGAAGTGAATTCATTCACCACCAGACATCCAGCTTCCTTTCTCAGCTCGACCATCTTCTTCAGGACACTGATGGGAACTCCTTACCCTAACCCCATTTCTCCTTCCCAAACCCGCATAGGCTGGATTGGCATAGGCGTCATGGGAGCTGCCATGGCCTCCCGCCTTCTCTCAGCCGGCTACTCCCTCACCATCTACGCTCGCACTCCTTCAAAAGCTCATCCCCTCCAATCCCAAGGTGCGCAACTCGCTGATTCCCCATTTCAACTAGCTCAACTCAGCGACGTCGTCTTCACAATGGTGGGACACCCACCAGATGTTCGATCAAATATCCTCGACCCAGAAACCGGCCTTCTCTGGGGCCTCCGCCCAAACTCGGTCTCCGTCGACATGACAAGCAGTCATCCAGCCCTTGCCCGCGAGATTTTCAATGCTGCGCGCACCAAAGATTGCTGGACTGTCGATGCGCCAGTGTCTGGAGGTGACATTGGCGCTAGAGAAGGAGAGTGAGGAAGGGAGGGTGGCGGTGTTGCCTGGTGCTGCATTGTGCAAGCAGTTGTTTTCTGGCATGGTGGCTAATGGGGATGGGAAGCTTGGCGGTCAAGGTCTTATCACTGTCATAGAGAGGCTCAATGGAAAGTGAGATGAAATGGTTAGCTCAATTTGAAAGGTGTGATTATTTGTTCATTTGGCAAAACTACTGTTGTCGATTGCAATTAAGGTGCTTGCTAGTGAACCGTTATTCAACTTTTCATTTTGTTTGCGTAGCTTCCTTTTATACATACACTTACGTACCTTACTTGAGTCCTATATATGTTAATAGGTATAAAATTGTCAGAGAGAAGAAAGAAAAAGAAGATGCAGACGAAAAAGAAGTTGAAGGCGAGGGCGAAGAAGAAGAGGAAGTAAAGGGCAAGGACGAAGTTGCTGCATATCATCTTTTAATTTTTCTTTTTTTGGTCCCGCTTGAAAACGATTTTCCTAAGTAGCTAGTTGGGCTGACCGGCCACCACCGTCTCTAGTTGTAGGTTTTTTTTTTTTTTTTTTTTGGGTTTACATCATTGATATCTACATTGTTTTTGTTTAAATCATTGATATATATATTGTTTTTGTTTTAAAATCCCACTTAAATATGAGAAATTTTGGTTTTCCTAGAAACTACAGTGCATTTTTCTATCTTATTCTTCTATTGCAGTACTTATGTTTTGATGTGAAGCTCAGTTTTTCTATTGTCGAGGTATGTATATTCTTGATTAAATTGTTATTTGAATTTTTTAGTTATTTTTTGGTTTTCATAAGTTGATTTTTCTAGTACTTTCATCATGGTTTTGCCTTTTAGTTCCTCACTTATTAGTAGGTGTATTTTGGAATGTGGCTTACTAGGTGCTACAATACAGTTTCTAATTTGATTATATGATTTTATTGGTTTTGGCTGTTTCTTACTAGCTGTTGGCATGAATTTTTTTGTTTTTGTTTTTTGTTTTTTATTGCAATTTCTGTTTTTATTTACAGTTTTTGTTTACATTATTGATATCTAACTATTTTGTTTTGTATAACTCTAGAGCTAAGCATGAGAGATTTGGTACAAATTTTGCACGTAACGATGTTGAAATATATATATATATACATGTATATTAAAATCATTGACTGTTAATATAAATATTGTCTAACTGTCAAAATATCACAAAAACAAGGTTGGTGTAGTGGTTTGTGAATAAGGCTACGCCGCCGGTCATCGGCGATGGCTGGCCCTAATATGAAATGGGGAGAATTTCAAACAAGCTTTTACGCTTAAGGATTTTGGGTTGACGAAATTGCCCTTACATCATTAAAGAAATTCACAAGAATACTAACATGCGCTTGAATTGCTACAAATACGAAACTACAATGGCACAATTGACGAAATTGAAACTATAATATCAAAAGTGGTTGAAGTGCAAACTACGGAGACCAAAAGTGACTTTTGGCCTTTGTTTTTTGCTAAATTTATCATATCCCCAACTTCTCTTCCTTTTTCTATTTTTTCTGGTCAGACCCCAAAATTTCTTTCATTATCTGGTGTCTGCAAATTCTACCTCACCCATCAACCACATCTTTCAATCATCCTTTTCAGCATCATACAAACTACCAACGAGCCCAACTCCACCTCCTCTCTTTTTCAAATTCTCTCGTCATGCCGCCACACACCCACCCCTTTCCATGGAAGTAACCCCATCAACCCACCCCCATTCGTTCTCTGGTTCCATTTGGTAATGGTTGGTGGTGGTTCAATTGGGTAGTGATGGTGGTTCAACTAGGTTTATGGTGGTGGCAGTTATGGTTCGACTGATTGGGTGGTGATGGTTGTTTGATTCGGTATGGGGGTGGTGTTGTTGTTTATTGGGTGATGGTGATATTGGAAGAGATTTTTTATTTAAACCTTGCACTTCTCTTTGTTCATTCTAATATTTAAATCATTAAGGGGCCGTTCGTTTAAGTTTTCAACGCCCGTTTTCATTTTCTGAGAACAAAAACAAACCAAGAATTCGTTCGGTGGACTAAAACAGAAAACACTGAGAATGTTTTCATAAAATGAGAACAACATCATGTGTACTTCGGAAAAACAGAAAAAATGTGTTTTCATTCTCACAGGAAACAAACGCCTAAAACATAAACAGAAACACACAACCCCATCATTCTACCCAGCAAAACAGAAACGAAACGAAAATCAAACCAAAACATAAACGAAAATCAAATTCACCACAGCCACGACTGTCAGACAATCATCACCGCAACCGCCACTAACTCTGCCACTGCCACCAAACCTCACAGACCCAGTCCCCACATCACCACAGAGGGGGGGGAGAGAGAGAGAGAGAGAGAGAGAGAGAGAGAGAGAGAGGTGGGTTGATGGGATTCATGCCATGGAAGGAAGGAGTGGGTGCGGCGGCATGAAGAGATAGTAAAAAAGAGGAACGACCTGGGCAGGGAGAATAAAAGAGAAAGTAGAGGAAGAAAGAAAGGAACGGCCTGGGAAGGGAGAAGAAAAGAGAAAGAAAGAAAAGGAAAAAAGAAGAAAAGAGGAAAAGAGGAAGAAAAAATAAAGAGATAAAAATAAATTTAACTTTTAAAAAACAATATAATTTTTTATTTGTCAAATTATACATTTTTTAAAATATTTTTTAGAACATAAATTAGCAAAAATACACTTGAAAAATAGCTCACATATTATTATTATTATTATTATCAAATTGTACTACCAGACACGTTTTCATTGTTTTTGTTTTCTAAAGATGTTTTTTATTAATCTACCAGACGCATTTTCATTTCCTGAAAATGCAAATTTGTTTTCTTGTTTTCATTCTCTGAAAATATTCTCAGAAAACATCCTCCGAAAACGTTACCAGACGGGCCCTAAGCTCTTTGTTCTCTAAGGCAAAATGTTGATTTTGTTTTCAAAAGTCATTTTCTGTGTTTTTGGGAAATAGTTCACCGAACGCATTCTCGGTGTGTTTTCTGGATTTGAAAACAGAAAACGCTTGGTGAAAACAGTACTGAATGGGCCTTTAATTTTATTTTATTTTCGGTAAGTGGGGGGCTAAAAGCAAAGCCAAACAAATTACAGAATAAAAGAACGAGGCCTCACACCACCCCTAGCACCTGCAGTGGGAATATCTTCAAAGAAGTAAGGCACCTCATCATAGACATGGAGACCAGGGCCAAGATTATAACTTCTGGTAGCCAAAGCATCTACAGCTACATTTTGTTTGTGGTAGATATGCTTAATTGCACAACACCAGGGTTCACGAATCTTCATTTTACAGCAAGAAATGATGCTGTAAAAAGAGTGAGTTGGAACAGTAGGTGAAGATAAAAGAGTTATAGTAGCACTAGAGTCGCATTCATTCTCCATATCACAAAAGCCAGCATCCCAAGCCAAACGAAGCCCCAAAAAGATACCTCATAATTCAGCCTCAAGGATTGTATTGTACTTGCACCCAGATTCACAGTAAAGCCATGGATCCAAGCACTAGTAGCATCACGTAATAATCCTCCAGCACCACTAAAGCCAATGGCATTGTTTCTACTTCCATATGTGTTAATTTTACATGCACCAGGTCTGGGAGTTTTTCATTGGAGCTAAACCACAATGTGCTCCAGAGTGCCTACAATTGGTTTACAAGCATTGTACCAATCCAACACATACCGGTAAACTAGATGCAAAGGCTCAGAAGGCTTCATTTTTTATAAACAATATTCAATATGCATGTACAATATTATGTACAGCAAGAATTGTTTATTTTTTGGCCCTTTCCTATTGAGAGAGGGTCGATAACATACTCATACACACTACACAGATAGTAACACTTGAACTCAAAGACCTTTCTAGCGGGAAGCAATAATTGTGTTTTTTTTGTTTTAGTTTATTTTATGAATAATTGCCCTTATTTTTGCAGGCATGTCCTATAAGACTTAGCTGAGAAGACATCAGCATTGGTGGCATCATCACAAGAAATGTTACAAATATCCCTCCAGAGTCGCAGGATCTTCTCAGGTCAAGGATTAGAAAGATCTGGTCACTTATCATCTAATTAATTACCTCCAATAATCCCTGCAAGATTTCAGTCCTCTCTTTTATGTGATGTATCAGTTTTTTACTGATTTAAATAAAAGTCTATTTGCCCCATTGCAAATCAATGGTCTCAAGTTTCTACTTTCATGACATCTTGGTAGTGTGTGTGTGTGTATGTGAGAAACCTCTCATCCTCCTGTACTTAAATGATCGCATGTACTAATTTTTGTTCTATTTTTAAATAAATAGTATAGCCGATCGGCTATACTCCTTAAAATTTTCTCATAAAATTTAAGAGTATAGGATCGAATATACTCCGTGTTTTTTATAATTTTTATTCGAGTTAAAAGTATAGCTGGACGCCGATAGTCCCCCTTTCTTAAATTTTCTCATGGACTTAATAGTCTAACCGCGCGGCTATACAATTTTTTGTCCATTTTTGCCCGACAATAGTACAGCCGCGCGGCTATACTATTCTCTGTGCATTTGTTTACATAAGTATAGCCGCATGGCGATGCACTTTTTTAGTATGGCCGGGCGGCTATACGCCGTTTGTTTAAAAATTTTCTCCTGAAATTAATAGTATTGCCAACAATTATCATTATTTTTAGAAAGTCATTTTTATTTGGTAGTCTAAAAAGTGGAAGTTGCGTTCATTTCCAAAAAGGAAAAATCGTATGAACCAAAAACTTTTTAATTAGACTTCCCGGTGATTTCCCATTAGCCTTCTTAGCTACGAGGCTCTTTCAATTTTGAAGTGAATTCATTCCCCACCAGAAATCCAGCTTCCTTTCTCAGCAACCATCTTCTTCAGGACACTGATGGGAACTCCTTACCCAAACCCCATTTCTCCTTCCCAAACCCGCATAGGCTGGATTGGCATAGGCGTCATGGGAGCTGCCATGGCCTCCCGCCTTCTCTCAGCCGGCTACTCCCTCACCATCTACGCTCGCACTCCTTCAAAAGCTCATCCCCTCCAATCCCAAGGTGCCCAACTGGCCGATTCCCCATTTCAACTCGCTCAACTCAGCGACGTCGTCTTCACAATGGTGGGACACCCACCAGATGTTCGATCAAATATCCTCGACCCAGAAACCGGCCTTCTCTGGGGCCTCCGCCCAAACTCGGTCTCCGTCGACATGACAAGCAGTCATCCAGCCCTTGCCCGCGAGATTTTCAATGCTGCGCGCACCAAAGATTGCTGGACTGTCGATGCGCCAGTGTCTGGGGGTGACATTGGCGCTAGAGAAGGCAAACTCGCCATACTTGCCGGCGGTGATGCTTCCGTGGTCGAGTGGTTGGCCCCAGTGTTTGATGTTTTGGGGAAGGTTACTTACGTGGGTCCTGCCGGCTCCGGCCAAAACTGCAAGATTGCGAACCAGATTGTGGTGGGAGGGAATTTGGTGGGGTTGAGCGAAGGGTTGGTGTTTGCCGAGCGGGCCGGGTTGGATGTGCAGCAGTTTATGGAGGCGGTGAGGGGCGGGGCAGCCGGGTCGATGGTGATGGAGTTGTTTGGGGATAGGATTATAGGGAGGGACTTCAGGCCTGGTGGGTTTGCTGAGTATATGGTGAAGGATTTGGGGATGGGTGTGGATGTTGTGGAGGAGAATGAGGAGGGGAGGGTGGCGGTGTTGCCTGGTGCTGCATTGTGCAAGCAGTTGTTTTCTGGCATGGTGGCTAATGGGGATGGGAAGCTTGGCGGTCAAGGTCTTATCACTGTCATAGAGAGGCTCAATGGAAAGTGAGATGAAATGGTTAGCTCAATTTGAAAGGTGTGATTAATGGTTATGAGTGTGCTTATTTGTTCATTTGGCAAAATTACTATTGTCGATTGCAATTAAGGTGCTTGCTAGCTTTATAATATTGGCTTCTGTAGCGCTGCCTGTTATAATGTATAGAATTTTAAAACGGTTTGTTGTACATTAATATTGATAATAGACATCGTTATCAAATATGTTGATTGCTTCATTTTTTTGTTTTTGGTTTCTCCTAATGATTTGTAAAACGTCATTTATAATCTCTCTTGGAACCTAGAATTTGTAATGAAATAACCAGTAGACTCGTAAAGAAACTTGGCTTCTGAGTCTGACGGAAAATATTTTGAAAGTACTACTGACCCTCTAGAGATTTATGGTTGCTATGGGATGCACCTTTTTGCTCACACTGAAGTTTTCTTTGCACGCTTTTGATTTTTGTATTGCTCACACTGGGTATTGTTGACTGTATATGCTGTTCCCCAAGGCTAATTTATGAGAAGAATTATTTAAAAATTTAAGTAGGGTTATAGACCAAATACAAAAAGAATGATCGCTAAATTGGTGACCTAAATGAAGCTGTAAAGTTATCAACTCACATTTCTGTTGTTCATCATTGGATGAGCTGGTCGGTACATCAGTTTCATCATCTGTGAGGTATTGGAAATTTGGAATGACCACTATTGTGTTTGCCAAAATCCTCTCAGAAGTTTAAATTAAGAATTCAGATAAGTTCTCCAAGAATGCTGGCAGTGGTAGGCTAGACTTTTACATATCCAACTGTAAATCTTCCTCGGCCATTTGTAGAGGTGCTAAGGAGCAGGTATCCAGAATTTTACACATTTTCATTACTGTCCTTTTCGTTTTCCTTTTTAAGGGCCACAAATAATGTCCCTGTAAATCTGTTCGATCATGGTTGTGTGTCAACTTCTATCACTTTTCTTTGTAGTTTTAGTTTTATAGGGTGCTTAGTAGCTGCCTCCAACTTGTTTCATTCTTCTCATATTTTGGATTTTTTCTCTGTTATTTTTTTCTAAATTTGTCCTTGTAGTTCTAAATAATCCTAAGTTTTGACTCCGATAACCCTCAAAGGTGGTTAGCCTTTACTGAAACTGATAGAGCCCCAGATGTAGGACTGAGCTGTACTTTCATTTCATACATCTAGGTCCTCTGTTCAGTATTATGGGGTCATTTACTTTAACTTTGCGCCATCCCTAACCCATTTTCTTCTATTCCATTTTAAGTCAACGCGTTAAATTGTGTCTAACATCTATTCCATGTCTCTAACTCATTTTCTTCTATTCCATTTTAAGAAATTTACTCAGCCCGGCTCGCACTCTCTTCTCTCTTTGATAAAAATGTCATCTTCAGGCTCCAAGAAAAATGATAGGAACCATAAAAACTCCACGAACACTCCTCCTGATCAAAAGTTTGTCCTACTTTCCTTCTGTTTCCAGTTTGGGTATTTTTTGGTGGATAGTTTCAAGTTTGGGTTGCAGATGAAGAGGAGGAGTTGGAGAATGGGGAAAGGAAAAAATTTCACCCTAAAGACACAATAATTACAATTTTTTATTTCCTAACTGTTGTTTTCTGAAACAATAATAATGTTGTTAATGGGGTTTTTTTTTATATTATCTCTGAAGGGGTATTATTAAGTTCATTGACTTGCTGGAGTGGAATGGTGCAAGGTTGGCTTTTTGCCATTTCACCATATACATTTCAATATCCACAATGACTAGGAAGTAACCATCTCTAAATTATAGATCCTTTTTTTATTAATCCTCGAGATCACACTTTTACCTGCCTATAGGGCAGACTTTAAATTTTTTATGGGAGTGATTATCCGCAGAGATTCGTCAAGAATCTCAGAGTCCGGTAAAGATTTAGCGGCGTCCATGAAAATTCGACAAAACTCTTAAAGTCATCTCTCACTTTGGACATGATCCGTGGTAAAACATGGGGGTAAGGAAAGCTATATCTTTTGTCAAGTTTGGGTTTTTTTTTTCCTTCTGAATTTTTATTGATTACTTCTTTTCTTTTTTCTTGTGAATTAAGGTTTTGTTTTAGGCAATTAGAAGATCATCCACTCCTTCTATCTTCTACTGAGAGATTTAACTATTACATTAAGAAAATGGTTGCCATGGCTGAAAGGAAGGAGGCCCAAGAAAAGATAATACAACAAGAAAGTTGACTTCAATAGAGTCATTGAGGAAGGATGGGTCTTTCGTGATGCTCTCAAAGAAAGACATTATAGCAAAAACGTTTACTAAAAATAAAAATTGAATAACATTGTCAGAGAGAAGAAAGAAAAGAAGATGCAGACGAAAAAGAAGTTGAAGGCGAGGACGAAGAAGAAGAGGAAGATAAGGGCAAGGATGAAGTTGCTGCATATCATCTTTTAATTTTTCTTTTTTTGGTCCTGTTTGAAAACGATTTTCCTAAGTAGCTAGAGTTCTAATGAGTGATATTATAGCAAGAGTTATGTATGTTTTATTCTAGGTTCTAATAATCTTAATGTTTAAATTTGAAAAATGATTACCAAAATGTGTGGTTGTTGCATGCTTATTATCTGAATTATTTGCATTCGTAAAGATGGGAGAGGTGGAACTGTAAAGTTGGGCTGACTGGCCACCACCGTCTCTGGTTTATTCTTGTCTCGGATGCCCTCCGGCTGGTGCTGTGTGGTCGAATGAAGGGTGAAGGAAGCAATGGCTGCTGTTTTTGTAGTTTAGTTTGAACTTTCTCGTGCTTCTTGTTTGTAACTTTGTTTTGCTTGGGGCTTGCTGGCCTCTTTGCTTTGTTTCCTTCCTTTCCCTTGATTGTGCTTTTATGGAATTTGATTCGGACTCAAAAAGAAAAAAAGAAAAAAGAGTTCACTTGGTTTCAGGTTCAACTCCCGTGCGTGGCACCATGGTAATGTGTGGGAGAACCTTCCTTCTCCTCTATTTTATATACTATTGCTTCTACTAAAAAAAAGTAACACCTATAAGAAAACTATATTTTTCACACACAATTTGAGAGGCAGGTTATAATTTAAGTATACATATACTTGGCCTCATTCTAGGGCTTGGGAGATTTTTGGAGTAAACATAACCCTTAATTTCATAATATGAAAGTTAAGGGTATAAAACATTATAAAATATCATCATCTTCATCCAACATGTCCAATTTTAATAAAAATTGTATCTTCTGAAAGCGTTTGTTGATATGTATGTATACAAGAAGTATTAAAGTATGTAAATAAGTTGCACGAACTAGTTCGTATTCTAATAATATTTCTCTTCTCAATATTATAATAAGTCATGAATTGAAATTTCCCTTTCCTTTTTTTTTTTTATTTTAAAAAAAATGTAAACGAATCAAGACAAGTGTTTCATGTATAGTTACACATTAAAACCATTAGAATTGGATTTCCCTGGAACACATTCACAAAACATTCCCTATCCCTTTCTTCATAAAATTTTGGGTCTGCCAGGCTATTATTTAAGTAGCCCTGGAGTGCGTACGTTGCATTATTATTTTGATTCCTAATTCCTATAGTAGTGGGAAAACTTAGACAAGGAAATACATGTAGTGGTGAAGAATTCTTCATATTGAATGAGACATTTTGTGCGGATTGAATGAGACACCCACGTGTCATTAGTAAGGTTTTCAAATGGCAGTTTACTTGCTTGCCCCGTCTAGTTTGCTCACCTGTTTTCTAGAGAAACGAGGAAACATGCATAAAATGACAAATTCAGAATTGGAATGTGCGTATGTGGCAGTCGGTGAGATTAGCAGTAGAATTGGAATTGGTGGCCATAGCTCACTCGTCGTATATGCATGGTTTTCAATGACTTCACCTTCAAATCCATTCCGTTCCGTGAACCAAATGGAGCCACAGCTGAAAAACATGTTGAACCTGTCTTCAAGTGCTAGCTGTGTTCCTAGGTCGGCTGCATCAAGTCCAAGCAAACATAACAAATGGGATACAGGAGGATCGATTTGGTGATGGTCCTAACCAAGGTCTAAAATATCGGGAGTTTCGGAAATATCGGTGGTCCAAAAACACGGATATATCGATGGAAATATCGAAAAAATATCGATATCGATAAAAATTGAATAAAAATCACATAAATTATGAGAAAAACTTGGAAATTTTTATTGAAACTTTAGAGGATGTTTACTTAGTCAATTGTCTATTATTTTATCACAAAAATTGGAAGGAAATGCATGGCATGGTGGGTTTGAGTGATTTAAGTTGATTATGTAGCGACCTGACAAACACTGTGACTTTAGAAAATATGTAGTAATTAATGAAAGAAAATTAAACACACCATAATTTTTTAGTTATAATAATGTACTTCAATATATTACACTTGATACATATGATAAAATATATGAGCTTAACCAAAAAAACAAAGATAAAATGTATGAGTAACTTAGTACCACATAAAAATAATTCCTATTAAAATTCAAACTTAGTATCACATATAATGAACAATATTAAAACTCAAAGTGAATAATAATAAAACTCCATAATATATAACAACAACAAAATACTACTCCATTATAAAATAATAAATAACATTAAATACATGCTTAAATTTATTCTTAGGGAATTTTTTTAATATGAAAATTTATCTTAGATAATATTAGCTTGCAGACAATTTTTAAAGACCTTATAAATATTAAAAGTTGATGGTATATATCGCGATATTATCAATATTTTTAAAGAGAAGAAGCTGGCTTTGATGAGAAAGGGAGGGGGTTCAAATCCCTCTGCGCGCAAGGTGAGGCTTTTCAATATTTTTCTATCTTTTTTGGTTTCATATCGCGATATTATCAATATTATCGATAATATCCCGATATATTGACCATTTCATATTGAATTTGAACGAAAATATTGGTCCCGATATTTCGGCGATATTATCGAGGATATTATCGATAAATTGACAAAATATAAATGGAATGTCCTGAAAATATCGGGACCCAAAAAAAACGATATTATCGCCGATACTGTGGTCCTAACAAATATTTTTTAAAATTTTATACAAGCGATATTGGAAGATGGTTCAAATACATGATTTCCAGTGCAAGGGTACTTTGTTGAGTACTTCTAATTTTAAACTTCTTGCAAAAAATAAAAAATAAATAAAAATTTAAGTGGTCCATCTTCTTCTTCTTCTTTTTTTCTTTCTTTTTTTTGGGTCTGAATCATTTCAGTGGTCCATCATTCATCGTGTTTTCAATAGTTCAATGTGTGTTTGTTTGTTTGTTTTTTTGAGAGAATAGCGAAAGGATTTTATTGATAGGAAGCTTAACTAGTACAAAAAAGGGGCAATGTCATTGGGGATTAGGCGAGTTTCTCTACACATACGGGCTCGGTCGTCGGTCTAACTGAGTAGCCTTACCCGCTAAACTGCAAGCAGGAGTAGGAACCTAACCACTTGTAGAGGGTGTTTTTTTAAACCATAAGAAAGTGGGTGCATATTTGTAGCCACCAAAAATACAGAAAATTTAGATTACTATCTTTAAGGGCTGTTTGGGAGTGCTTTTATAAAAAGCACTTCTACTCTGAAATATTGGTACCATTGTACATAACACAGATCACTTGAATGTCTTTGTACGATCTAAGCCTTTACAATTTAATGGGATGTGAGAAAAGAAGTGAAACTGCCACAGCCTATATTCCTGGTCAATTCACCTATTTCCTTATAACTGGAACCCTAAGTTTGCTTGGAGGCTTCTCAACCGAGTTTGTGAGCAAGGCTTACAACATTACCAAAGATGAAGCATACAAAATCACCAAAAGCCAGACTGGGGTTTTGATCATCAAGGTGGGTGAAGATGAGAATACCAAAATGCCCAAGCCCAGTGAAAACTCCACCCACAAACCAGTCCACAAAATCACCAGTGCAACAACATTGACTGAGAAGGAGTTTCCATTTCTCAAAGAGGCTGGGTTAAGTGCAAGCCTGATAAAGCTTGAAGCCAATGCAATTAGCTCCCCAACTTACACAACTGATGCTACAGTTCAAGTAGGTTATGTTGCTGGAGGGAGTGGGCAGATTCAAATTGTGGGTCTTAATGGCAAACTGGCCTTGGAAGTCAAAGCTGGTGATTTGCTTGTGGTTCCAAGCTTCTTCATGGTGGCTAAACTTGCAGGGGAAAATGGATTGGAAAGTCCTCACAAGTTCCCAGTAAGCAGAAGACGATCATATAGAATACTTAATTTCAAGACTTCATTTTTGCTAAACAATATTCAATGTGCATGTACAATAATATTATGTACAGCAAGAATTGTTTATTTTTAAGACATTTCCTATTGAGAGGGTCGATAATATACTTATACACACTACACGAATAACAGCACTCGAGCTCAAGACCTTTCTTGTGGGGAGCAATAATTGTTTTTTTTAAATAGTTTATTTTATGAATAATTGCCCTTATTTTTGCAGGCGTGTCCTAGAAGACTTAGCTGGGAAGACATCAGCATTGGTGGCATTATCACCAGAAATGTTACAAATATCCCTTAAAATAACTCCAGAGTTGCAGGATCTTCTCAGGTCAAGGATTAGAAAGATCTGATCAATTATCATCTAATTAATTACCTCCAATAATCACTGCAAGATTTCAGTCCTCTCTTTTATGTGATGTATCAGTTTTTACTGATTTAATAAGTCTATTTACCCCATTGCAAATCAATGGTTTCATGTTTGAATCCCCATGACACCTTGGTAGTGTGTGTGTATGAGAAACCCCTCATTCTCCTATAATTTAAATTATCACATGTACTAAATAAAAAGTCAATGGTCTCAGTTTCAAATCAATGGTCTATTTGCCCCATTGCAAATCAATGGTCTCAATTTCACTTGCAGTGGTATAGTTCAATAGCTTACAAATTAAAAACTATACTTTTTAAAATAAAGTTTTAAATAATTAAATAAAATAAAATGAATAAAGTTCATCACGATAAGAATTATACAATTAAAATAATTTCAAAAAGACCTTTAAAAAGAGACCAATTTTGAATTTTAAAAAAATTAATAACATTTTTTTTTTGTTGGTGACAATATTATATTAACACTTTTTTTTTTGGAAGAATTGAAAGTAGATTAAATGAGAACACAACAAAGTTATTATAAGAGAGAGAATGTGCAGAGTTATTATGGTGGGCCACCTTATTTAAATGAATTTCATTTCATAGTTTATTTTATTGACCTCTAAAATGCCAGTCACCTACTAACTCTAAATAAGTGTAAGTGGGCACGGATCTATCTCTTTTTTTCTTCCTTAAATCATAAAGATACAAATTAGAATACAAACAGATGACAGATCACAAGCGCCCAAACTAAGGTAGGCTAGATAAACACAAATAAGCTGAAAGAACAGTGACTCAAAATTATTGTACTTCATATTTTCTTTGGATGAGTTCATTTTGATTCCTACAGACTCTAATTTTGGTGTTTTGGGGGAGTGGGACCTCTCCTTTCTTCTCTGTATGTGATTCATACAATTCACACCAAACTAGACCACCTTTTTTTTCGTTGTCATGGTCTTCACGCACATTTCCCTAGGGTTTTGAGATTAGGAGGGGGGTGGGGAGTGGGACCTCTCCTTTCTTATCGATATCATAGAGGACAGTTTGATCGGTGATGATGGCTGAGCAGTGCCGTAGTACACATGTAGTTTGTCAGATTTTCTACTTTGTCGTGTGTACGATTTGATTCTTGATATTTTGTAGACACTAACACATTAAAATACACCCCTAACAAGATTTGAATTTCATTTAACTCGAGTGTTAGAACAAATCTGAACTCACAAAAGCTCATGGGGTCTACAAAGATGACAATTGAAACGCAAGGGAAAACACAAAATTACCAACTACGGATATCTCTGTCAAAGTCGAGCAAGGTTTGCAGAGTTTGGTTTAAAGAGTTAGGCTTGAGGTGAATAACTTGAAGTGAAAAAGGAATTGCCTACGGCTCATTATCTCATTAATGCAAATGACTTCTTTACATACCAATTCCTTACTTCACATAAACTTAACCTCTCCAATTTCTTACCTCCCCGTCATTCTCATCGTCGGCATTGAGCTATCGGCCAGAGAGTGGATAAAATTGGAACTTTAGGTGACAAAAATTGAAAAGGCGTGTAGTCAACAAAATTCGTGAGTGTCATTAGAATTCCTGGAATACTTCAATTATTAACCCCATCTAAACAGTACATAATCTTTTGTTAAAGAAATTTTCAACTGTTGACTCTAGCCTAATAATGTACGTTATATATATATATATTGTAGTGCCACTATAATACATCTATTGTAAAATATATTTTCAACTGTTGACTTTATACTAATGAGAAGCGTATTTGAACATAAATTGGTTGAATTGAACCAAGACACGTGGCATATTTGAACATAATTATGGAAAAAGACAGGAAATGTGGAAGAAATCAAGAGCATTTAAATTTTCTCTTCTTCTCTATATAATGGAACTCCTGCACCTCTGTCTTCACCCATAAACTTCATCAGGTCTGATCTGTATTGCTTTGTTTGTAGGCTTTAGGATTTTCTGGTCTCTCTCTTTCTCTTGAAACTAATTGAAGGTGGAAGCCAATATGGACTTAACACCCAAGCAAGCCCAGAAGTTGTTTGAGGGAGATGGTGGAGCATATTACATTTGGTCAAGTTCAGATGTTCCAGCTCTTGTTGAGGCCAAGGTTGGTGCAGGCAAGCTTGTTCTTCAACCTCATGGCTTTGCTCTTCCTCACTATGCTGATTCTTCCAAACTGGGATATGTTCTTCAAGGTAATTTTTTTTATAAAATTTTTGTTCATCATTGACCTTTTATATGAAAGTTTTGTTATGTTGCTTACTACAGTGGATATATATGGTACGTTCTCTTACCAAACTTATATTATCATATCATAATCAACTTGATCAATTATTCGATTCTCGTAGAAGTTTGAAGATCGTGTGTATGTGCGTGTTTATTTTTGTTTGGCCAATTAAAAGTGGTCTAACATAAACATTTGTTTCCTCATTGACCTTAAAATTTTGTTTATGATGTTTGCTACGATGGATATATATTGTTCGCTTACCAAACTTATATTGTCAGACAAACATACGCAATGTCCAATTGTAAACCTAGAAGTTGGAAAATTTATAGGATTAATTAATGACATATTGATGCAGGTGATGATGGATTAGTTGGAATGGTATTCCCTAACACATCAGAGGAGGCGGTGATTAAGCTCAAGAAAGGGGATGTGATACCAATACCCCTTGGATCAGTCTCATGGTGGTTCAACAATGGAGGCTCAAACTCTGAGGAACTTGTTGTTGTCTTCTTGGGTGAAACTACCAGAGCATACATTCCTGGTCAATTCACCTATTTCCTTCTAGCTGGAACCCAAAGTTTGCTTGGAGGCTTCTCAACTGAGTTTGTGAGCAAGGCCTACAACATTACCAAAGGTGAAGCAGACAAAATCACCAAAAGCCAGACTGGGGTTTTGATCATCAAGCTGGGTGAAGATGAAAAGACCAAAATGCCCAAGCCCAGTGAAAACTCCACCCACAAACTAGTCCACAGGATCACCAGTGCAACAACATTGACTGAGAAGGAGTTTCCATTTCTCAAACAGGCTGGTTTAAGTGCAAGCCTCATAAAGCTTGAAGCCAATGCAATTAGCTCCCCAATTTACACAGCTGATGCTACAGTTCAAGTAGTTTATGTTGCTGGAGGGAGTGGGCAGATTCAAATTGTGGGTCTTGATGGTAAACTGGCCTTGGACACACAAGTCAAAGCTGGTGATTTGTTTGTGGTTCCAAGCTTCTTCATGGTGGCTAAACTTGCAGGGAAAAATGGATTGGAGTGTTTCTCTGTCATCACAAGTTCCCAGTAAGCAGAAGATGATCATATAAAAATACTTCATTTTTGCAAGACAATATAATTGTTATTTGTTTTGTTTTATTTAGGAATAATAATTTGTCATGATTTTTGCAGACCTGTGCTAGAAGACTTAGCTGGCAAGACATCAGCATTGGGGGCATTATCACCAGAGATGCTACAGATAGCCCTTAATATAACTCCAGAGTTGCAGGGTCTTCTCAGCTCAAGGATTAGAAAGATCTGATCAATCATTATCTAAGCAGATCCATGCATGTTGATCACTGCAAGATTTCATGGCTTAATTCCTCTTTTATGTGATGTATAAATTTTTTACTATTTAAATACAAGTTTATTTCTCAATAATAAAATAAAATAAAATAAAGATTGTGTGGATCATTTTTTATGTGAAATCTCCTTTTACTTCTCTCTTATTCTAAAGGATTGTGCGGATCAATGGCGTGTTGGTGTTTCATATGGAGATTCAATCTCCCACCAAGATAATCATACATCAAATGTGTACTTGACAATGAAGAATAAGAATCACAGAGACACAGAAGTGCCCAAAGAAATATAGGAATTTAATAAAAACCACAAAGAGAATATTGATAATTTTAGGATATATCTATTGTTTAGATGACACTTGTGTTAACATTGGTTATTATTGTTGAGCAGCAAGTCAAGAATTCATGTTTTGTGCGGCCGACTTCAATAATCGAATGGCCCGCACGCGTTATTTACTTGTACATTTTGGGTTGGCACTTTCTGTGTTTATCAGTCAATGAGTTGTGTTGTTTGTAGAAACAGAAAATTTTGGTGTTTTGAACCTCAACACAGCTGAGGTTGCCCGCGCATCTCCACCTATTAAACCAGATTTTTGTATGAAGAAGGCCCAAATTAGAACTGGTCAAACTGTACCGGTTGAATAACATTTGGTTGTTATTTTTCCAACCGTAATGAAGAAATCGTAGTAGAAAATCTTCAAAAATCAAAAAGAGAAGCTCGGAGATGAAGAACGAACATAACCGAGCTCAATGCCCATGAAAATCTTCCAATGCTTATGTATCCTTAACATAATCAAACTAACGTAGTTGATGAATCGCAATAAGTGAATGATTCATTGAATTTGGAAAAGTGTTTGAGTGAATTTGGTTGGAGAAACCAAGAATTCAATTTAGTTGCGCTTGCGTCTAGTGAGATGCTAGATTGCATGATCAAATTAATGTAGTTCCAAATTGCAATGATTTAATTTGTGTAATTTTGTACCACTTGGGCTTTAGTTTGATGATTGAGAATTGAAGGCAATTTGGATTTGAGCTCATTAATTTATAATTTGTGAATTTGAAAATTTCAACTAAATGTTCACTAATTGGATTTTTAATGGACAAGTCCATTGTATTTGAGATTTGCAACGGAATGAGCCTATTATATTTGAGAATGTCGAGTCTTGAGATATGAGACGAGCACTTTGACATGAGACCACCATTGGATTGGGTCATGGGTCTCGAGCTTGCACTTGATAGCCAATATTTTAATGGGCATATATCATGAAACTTTTTATCTTGGGCTCCCAAGCCCTCTTTCAACTGAGATTAACTGGGGCTTCTCAAAAAATCAAAGAAGCCAAAGTTTTTGTCCAAATAGGATTGGATCCTTCGTGTGGGAGGGGATCTGCTGTCTCTATTTTTAATGTCCCTTCGTGTCCCTTTGTATAATTTGTTGACATGTGGCCACCCACTTAACCCCAATATTAACACTATTAACTTTACTTTCAATAAAATAAAAATGAAAAGAAATTCAAACGAGAAAAACAGCAGTCAGAGAGTTCCCCGCCAACGAGTACCCAACATTGACAACCCCAAACCTCGCTGGTTCCAGCCCCCTCACCTAACACAACCTCCACCCTGCTGCCCACTTCTCTTCCACTACCACCTCCTCCTCTCCTTCCTGAGCTCCCCTCAAATTTGGGTTTCTCAATTGAGCTTCGTCTGCGCCAAACCTCTCTCAGCCATCATCTCGCTCAGCCTTCCTCGCTCTCATCCTCTCTGACAGAGGCTTTGTCTGCGCCAATCCTCTATGCGCAAAACCTCCTCTCAGGCAAACCCCTCTGTCAGCCAGCGCCCTATGTCAGCCTCCGCTTCTCTCTTAAGCTGCCACCTCTCTCAATCGCTGCCATCACAGGTCAGATTGTCTTTTTTTTTTCTCTTTTTTTTCTTTTCCCCCTTCGAATCTCTAACTAACTCTATCTGTCTGCAATTCGCAGATTCAACACAGCAGTTCGCAGCCACCTCTTCATTTTATTTAGCTCTCTTTCTCTCTGTCAGGTATGATTCACCATAAACTACTTGAGAATTTGAGTTTCTTTGTTATCCTGTCAAGTTTAGATTATTTCTCCACCTAGCTGGCCTGTGGTTCTTAGCTTAGTTATTGTCTGTTGTTTGCACAGGGTGTTTTTCAAATTGATTTAGGGTTGTGGTTCAAATTGATTTAGGGTGTTTTTTCAAATTGATTTAGGTTTGATTAAAATAAAATGGCAGCCCTATAAATTTATCAAATTGATTCAAATTGATTGAGGTTTGATTAAAATAAAATGGAAGCCCTAGAAATTTATCAAATTGATTCAAATTGATTTAGGTTTGATTAGCAGCAGTTCGTGCAGATCAGTAGGAAATTTCTGGAGCAGGTTGCAGCTTCCAGCAGCAGTTCTGCCACTCTTTGAGGTATTCTTCATCTCTCTCTTTCTCTTAGATTTTGATGTTCTTCAGAAATTCTGAAGATTTTTTAATTGTTTTTTGTGGATAAATTTCCTCTATTTTTAATTCTTTTCATCTGCCAAATTCATGTTATAACGAAGAGTTTTTGTTTGTATACACTTCTGGTCAGATTTCAGGGTCTTCATTTGCTAATATTTGCCTTGTGTTGTGAATAAGCTTTCTTTAGTCTCTATCTCCATTCGATTGGCTAAGCTGAAGTGCTGAACAAACCCATCACTTATTATATTGAATATATTAGATGAAAGCTCCGATTTTGTTTCCTTAAAAAACTTTAATTTCCTAATTAGATTAATAGAAATCAAACTGCCTTTTTAAACAATGCTGCCACTTGTGTTTCCATGAACCAAAACAAATCATGAAAAGGAACTATATGGAGGGATGCTTTGTTCTTATAATTTAGAATAATACAAGTTGAAGATAATATTGACAACAATTTATTAAGCTGTATTATGTTTAATACATATGTAAGGACCTAATTTTGAGCTTTATTAAGCTGTATTATGTTTAATACATGTGTAAGGACCTAATTTTAATACATGTCTCACTCTCATATTATGAGCTTTATTATGTTTAAGGACCTAATTGGGAAATGAAAGTAAATATAAATATGTACATGGTTATATTTTTTTTTACTTAAAGTGTTTTGTTTTGTTTAATTCGATTGTATAATGTTTAAGTTTTTATTTTTTTTAATTGAGGTATTGTTTTTAGTTAATATCGTGTTTAAATTAGCATGAAATTAGTATTAATGTTGAAGATTTTGTTTTGTTTTGTGGCATGATTACAATCTATTTCAATTCAATCAAGCACCTCATTTTACTGGACAAAGTCAAGTATCCAACTGCAAAACGGTGTTTTATTTTATTTATTAAAAAAAAACAGCTATTAAAAGAGAAGAGAAGTTAAAGAAATAACCAAGTGAGGGCTAGGCCCAATTCATGGATGTCTCAAAGCACTTCCACTCATTTGTCATAGCAAAGGGCAATGGCTGTTACTATTTACGTGAATGGTAGCAGCATTTGCAAAAGGCTTGTGGTGTTTTCACCTATTGCCATGGCAATCACTATTCACATGAGGTATGAGGAGAAGAATTTGTATAAGTTTTTATGTAGGAAGTGAAGAATATGACTATAAATTTTTTTAAAAAATTCTGAAATTTTTAGTTTTTTATTTTATTTTTATTATTGTTGACGTCATCGCTGACGTCAACAAACCCGAGCTAGAGCGCGATATCGTTTTGCCTTTGGGCTGATCTGGTTTCATGGGACCCAGCTTCTGCCAGGGCAGCTTAGGCCCGCTGGAAGCGTAAAACGGGGCTTGGGATCCTCCTACCCAGGCAAAGGCAACCGCTGGAGTTGCTTTTAGGCCCTTGAGGAAGACCGGGCTGCTTTGGATCCTGTAGTCTTTTAGATTAGAATATGAGTATGGCCCTGAGCTGAGCTGACTTGTAGTTTGTTTTGTTTTATTTTTTGGTCAGAAAATGCTTTATTAAAAGGCCCAAAAACTGCCAGCAAAACAACGAGACAGGCCATAAATTTGTACTGCCATGTTACCCACCCTGGTTGTCAATTCAGTTTTCTTTAAAATTAAGAGCCCTGATTTACAAATTACAATCCTTAATCCTGATTTTCATCGAATCATCTGAAGCTCTACTGGGAAGAAGCTCAATCTGATTCTTTTTGGGAGGGAACAAATGGGGCTTCTCAGCATCATTCGAAAAATTAAAAGGAAGGAAAAAGAAATTCGTATACTCATGGTGTAAGTGAAACTTCATCTCTCCCTCTCTTGCCTTTCGTTCACTCTTATGATATGAGAATTAAGTAATCGTTGTTTTGTTTTGTTTGGGAAGTGGGCTCGACAATTCCGGCAAGACTACCATTGTGCTCAAGATTAATGGAGAGGACACCAGTGTTGTCAGTCCCACACTCGGCTTCAACATCAAGACCATCACTTACCAAAAGTAAGTGAACTACGCTTAACCCCAAATCATGATTTTTTTTTACATTTGTATTTGTTTGTACCAAAGTGTTATGAAAATAGTTTGTGGGTTAATCATATATAGAGATAGTTGGAATGCTTGGGCTCCTATTAAGGAGATTGGGTGTTTATTTTCTCAATTTGGGGATTGTTTTCCCAGATTATTGACAACTGTTTATTTCATTGATTCGTTTATAGACCATAAAAAACTCTGGCACCAATGCAGTTTTTTGTTTATTATGATATGGAAACTTTAAATGCTTGTAATTTGATCTTGGCAGGTATACCCTTAATATATGGGATGTCGGGGGACAGAAAACAATAAGATCTTACTGGAGAAACTATTTTGAGCAAACTGATGGCCTGGTATGGGTAGTTGACAGTTCAGATCTTAGAAGGTTAGATGACTGCAAAATGGAACTTGATAATCTTTTGAAGGAAGAGGTATATTCGCTTATTACTTCATTATACACTTGCTCTTTTTGTTTTTGTACCTAGTGTAAAATAACCCATTTGGATTTCCCGTTATTCATATACCTCCTTTAATGTATGATACGATCTATATGCTCATCTACAGTTCCAACTATTAGGACATCCATCTAGTATGTGAGCATATTCTGAGTGTATCAACTCATGCTGCATTTTCTCGAGTCTTGTATGAGTGTATAACTGTTT